TCTACTCCCTCGGGGAGGCCGATGATCCGAATATTCAGTTTTCTAAGGTAATCTTTCATCTCTTGCATCATTTTATTAGTTTTGCTGAGGTTTGTCTCCAGCTGTTTAATTCGCTGGACACCTTCATTTTGTGTGTCTTCTGTTTCAGAGATCCTTTCCTCTGCCGCATTTATTCTGTTGATGAGGCTTTCAATTTTATTCTCTTGGGCATCCAGTTTGGTTTTGATTTGTTGTATTTCGGTGATTATGCGGTTCTGGAGGTCTTCCAGCTTTGTGTCCACGTCTCTGAGAAATTTTAGCATTATTTTCATCAATTCCTTCGTTGGTAACACTTCCATGTCTTCATCTCGCATCGCCGATATTGATAATGGCTTTTGGCCCTTGTTTGGTGGGGTGCTGGCTCTTTCATCTGGAGCACAACTCTTTCTGGTGGTTTTTCCCATTGCGTTGGTGTATTCTGGTGGGGCAAATGGACCCGTGTGTTGAGGGGCTGTCAGGTGCTTTCCTGTAGAGATTGGAGCCTGCAGGCGTGGTGTTGCCGGGCGTGGTAATTTTCAAGGCACCGTTGGTGCGTTCTCAGGGCCCGGGGCTGTAGAGCACCACCTTGGGGGCCCAGTGGATTCCAGGCACACTCTGGGCACCTCTTCTACAGGTGTGACACCCCAGGGCGTGGAGGGATGGAGGCGCTCTCTGGGTGTGCCCCCTGTGCGGGAATCCCCAGGGCTTAGAAGGTTTTATGTGCTTTCTCCCTGCGTTCTCCGTGTCAGGGACTGCAGGGTTTTTCAGGGCCCACCTGTTGCGTCTCCCACACACGGGACTGTGGGTGAGGCACTTTCCAGGCGTGGCTCTTGTGCAGTGAGTCCACCACTCGTGGTGTGTGGGTGTTCAGAGCCCCTGCTCCCATGTGGCTCCCCCACACAGGCCCTTAGCGGAGGAGTGACCCAGGCGCCCTGTTATAATGACTTCACGGCAGGTTCTCACCGTGTCAGTGTGATGCAGGAGTTTTCAGAGCTCTCCTGGTGGGTCGCCCACGCTCAGAACTGCGGGGTGGGAGGCGAGGAGTGAGCAGTTCACCCTATGGGAGTGGTACCTGCGTGCCAGGGACACACAGCGCTACACTTCCCAAAACTGGGAGCTCTCCTGACACCTGACACCTGACACCTGTGCTGCGGAGGCGGCTGCTGCAGGTAGCGATCAGAATCCTCCTGGTGTTCTCGCGCATCCACCAGGCAGGATGTGGGGGACTCCAGATCCTCGCCAGCAGCCTCTGCGCACCGAGACGCACTGGCCCCCCTCAGCGCAGGAACATCCGAGGCGCCTTCCCTCACCACCAACACCACTGCGCGTAGTTCCCAAGGCACAGACCCAACCGTTTCAGGCTGCCTGCCCCGCCTTCTCAGAGGCTGGAACCTCAGTAGGGGGCGAGGAATGCGGAGGCTGCCGCGTCAACCCCCCCCCCCCCCCCCCGCTCACCAAACGTCCGGCTGCTGCAGTCTGCCTCCGCCGCTGTCAAAGGCTTCCCGCCGGCGACTATCCACCTGATCTCCCTGCCTCCGAGCTGGCCGCGTCTCCCGTCAGGCCGTTTTCAAAAGTGACTCTGCAGGTCTGGAGTGGGATGTCGGTTTCTCTACCTTTGTCCTGCTCCGTTCTCGTTGTTCTTCCGAGTTGTGTGGATCTTTTTGGCTCCACACTGTCCCAGGGAGCTTCACAGACCTCTCCCTGCGGTTCCCTGCTGTTCCTCTTTGCTGCTTCTGTAGCGTTTTATCCCTATCTCGCTGAACGCTCCCTCACAGCCTTCCTCCTACGTCGGCCATCTTAAAACTCCCACATTTAAAACATTTTAAATGTCAGATTGGCTTTTACTCTGTGTTGGAACCATATTTTTCTGGTTCTTTTTTTTTTTTTTTTCATTTTCTGTAAGCAAGCATGGTACTTAGTTAAGTTTTCCTGCAAAATTTGTATAAGGATTTCATTTGCAGACTTATCAGTTTATTTCATGCTTAAATCAAGTGTGTTTTATAATATTTAATATTTATGTTTGTGGAATGAAGTTGGTCAGTGAAGATTTCCTAGTGTCACCTTTTGGGGTTTGAAAGGGAGATGGTTAAAAAAAATTACCCCTCTATAGTTGTTTTTATCACTGTTTATAAGATGTGCTGTGTCTTGTCCCCTCTCATCAATTTCTGAATTTCTTCCAGTATCCTGGCTATCATTTCTAACAGTTTCTTTGTTCCTCGGGTTGGAGCATGCTCTGGTTTGAATATTGTCTCCTAAGTGATGCAGAAGTTTAAACCCCATAGCCATGATACTGATACTGATTAATCTAGGCAGGAGAAGACTTAGTCCAGTTAGAATGGTTAAAAGTAACGCCTTTGGGGCACGTCAATTAGGCAGAGAACGTGGAAGCCCTGACTAAATCCCAAGGGCTTCATAAGGAAGCAGTCAGGCATGCTTCCTGTGTGTGGGTCAGGTCAGGACTCTGCCAGCCAGAACACCATCACCAGAGGCAGGACCCGTGGAGCTCACCAGTTTTCTGCTATGAACCTTCAAAACTGCAAACCAAAATAAATCTATGTCTATTATAAAATTAGACTGACTGAGATATTTCTTTTTCTTTCTTTCTCTAAGATGATTTATTTGTTTGAAAGTCAGAGTAACAGAGAGAGGGAAAAGCAAGAAAGGGAGAGAAGTTCTCTCCTAGGATGAAAAGCTGACAAATACAGAGCTCTATTTTTGTGAAAAGTTTTAGTTGCATATTTTTAAATTTCTGAGAACTTTGAGATCTTGGTCATCCTAATGACTAAAATCATCCCAAACAAAGCTATACTCAACCAGAAATTCTCTGTTAAGAATTTCTTTTATTAATTTGAACGCACAGTGACGAGAGAGAGAGAGACAGAGAGACACAGAGAGAGACACACACACACACACACAGAGACAGACAGAGAGATCTTCTATCCAATGGTAAACTTTCCAAAGGGCTATAACAAAGCCAGCAGCCTGGAACTTCATCAGGATCTCCTACATAGGTGGCAGAAGTCCAAGCACTTGAGCCATCTTCCATTGCCTTCCCAGGCATATCAGCAAGAAGATCAATCAACAGTAGAGCAGCCAGGATGCTTTGGGATGTTGCTGTCTGTGGAGAGCGGAGCCGCGCCTCAAAGATGGCGCTTGCTGACCATTGCTTCGTGGCACAAAGGTGGTAAACAGGTTTTGGGAAGTTACTGAGGATTGGGCCGAGCACGCAGGGAAGCTACGTGACCTAAGTCATGATTGGTGTGTTTATCGCATGACGTGAGGAGCTGTGTATGGATTGGTTTGTGCAACGTAAAAGGTTGTGGGTAAGAAAATGGTTAAAAGGAGATTCCCCTGGGCATGCTTCAAGGTTATGCTGTAATCGCTTCACTGTAATAAATCTTACAACTGTTGCAACTTTTTTCTTTCTTTTCTTTTCTTTGCCACTACGCTTGAAGTCTTGACCAATAAACTTTTTAAAGAGTCTTTACCGTATCGGGGTTTTGCTCGCGGGACGAGGGACCCCGATAGCTGTCATGGGCAGCAGCAGACTCACTGTGCCACAATGTAGCCCCTCAATCCACGAATTCTCAAGAAGGCATCTTCAGCCTTTGACCTAAAGACCCATTGAAGTTGCCGCTCAGTGTCCTTCCTAGGAATGTTTCCACTGAGTCAGTACCAGGGGGCAGCTTATCCTGGCCCAAAAAACTTTGCCTTAAAACCACAACTGAACTTATATCTACATGGTTGAAAAGCCTACAAATAATCTTTGTTCCTTCATTTTTTTTCTTTGTCATAAAAAGCAAAATCACAGTGCCTTATACCAAGCTGTGTGTTTTATAGTCTGATTACACAATTTTGAAATTTGAGCTATGATTTTATGAATCCAGTACACAGAACACAAAATCAAATGTGGTAAATCCTAAATAATAAAATGCTTCCTGATGAAGTCTCCTGGGATTACTGAATCAACCTCAAGATATCCCAATCCTTCCACGACTTTGTGAAAAATTCAAAATCAAAAGTTTTGAGATGTGGTTTCCACTCAGAGTATCAATAAATGGAATACACTTCTACTGAATTTCTATGACTTTACATGTATTCATGCGAATGAAGGTTCATTTTTGCCAAATGTTAGTAGGTTTATAGTTTTATACATACAGTGAGTTTGTTTTCCCTTGATATTCATTAATTTTGTTTTTGTTGGTGCATAAATAACCAGAGGAATCTTTGGCCGAGAAGAGAATTCTGCATCTGAATCTAGAACAGGGCAGTTCCTCAGGATTTGCTTTCTTCACTGTTCCCTTGACTTCTCATGTGCTCTGTGTTGTTTCTTTTCATAGTTAGTCACAGTTATTTACTCATATTGAACCAAAAAAATTAGAAGAGGGCAGGATCATTGCAACATAGAACAAAATAGGAATCAAAATCTCATGGAAATCCAGGATGAGAAACATGAGAGGGCCAGGGCCTGCAGGTGATGCAACCCTGAAGGTTTTATCAGCCTTCAGCTCAAATGCAGCCATTGGTGTGTGTCAGTCAAGTGGCTCCTAATTGTGACTCTTTCTGCTACCACTTCCTTTGTTCTTCACTACATTGTATTTCTTCTGTAAACATGGTTTCTTTTTAACATATTTTTTATAGACAATTTAATTGTTTTAACTGTTCTAGGCTCCACACACCACACTAATTTTCCAAAACACATTTCCTCTTTAGAACCTTCACCAGTATCTCTATTCTATCCATATAAACTAATTAACTAGCTATGCATGAAAGCATATCTCATAGCTTCTATTTTTGTGGTAGATATTAAAGCACAGTAATCAGCCGAACACTGAATATTCTGTAGAAAATCCCATCATACATATATTGCAACCTTTTTAAGAATGATTTGTAAATTTATTTTATCTGTATATTACAAAATCAATATTAAATCATAATCTTGCATTTCAAGAGACCTTAAATCTTAGATATTGTTATATTCGTGTGTGTAGACAAATATAACAGTGTCTACAGATTCTAATAAAAGGAAGGATTAATACAGCAAAATGTAAATCTAAAGTGAATGAATGATCATCCATAATTAACTTTTGTCACTTCATGGATTGTTACATTTGTTTAAAAACAATCACAAGTAAAGATCTGAAGCTGTTATCACTCAACATTTTTTGTTGCAAATTTTATCAGTAGATGAAAAAAATCATCTTTTACCAATGGGCAAAAGATTGTGTAGCTATCACATCAAACGGTAGAGTAATTAGCCGATGTCCAGCCAAGTGCTGTCCTGATACACTTAGCTTTGGCCATGACAGTAAAGAAGGATGACTGAAAACACAATGGCCTTGAATAGTGTCATTAGCAATAGCAGTGGTCAGCAATTTTCCAAAAATGTTCACAAGCTGTATCACTCTCATGTCAAGTACTTGGAGCCTTACTTCCTTTCCCACAAATTAGAGAATACATCCTAATTTCACTCTGACTTTCCCAAACTCCTCCTAGAACCCCTGCCACATAACTCTTCCATTTACCTCCCAAATATTTCTCCTCATATCTGGTGGTTTCTTGACCTCACATTTCTATGCAGTCTGAGTTCCCCTTCATGTTCCCTTAGAAACTGTATCAGAAAATAACTTTACTCCCACTGCAATAGACTTCAGAATTTTGATTGTAGCCCAGGTTAGGCTTTAGAAATTAAGGATAGGTTTGTCAAAAGGCACCACATAGGAAAGACTAGAGAATCCAGCTGAGAGGCACAACTGGGTTTCTGTGACCTATGACTTACCTTTTCCTATTGGGTGCACACACACTAGAAAGACTGAGTTTCTGTAGACAGATCTACTGGAATAGAGATGGAAATAGAGTCTAAGCCTTAGACTACAAAATCTAAGATGGTAATTTCGCATTTGGGTAAGGAAAGAGCAAGACTACAATGAGATACAATCTGAAAATCTTAAGTTTCTTCTGCTGCTTCATAGTCTTGTTCCGCTGGCTTGACTAGTTTGGAAAGGTCATGATTATCTTTGCCATCATTACACCTGTTTCCCCGGCTGCAGCAAGTGGTTTCTCTCAAGAGGTCATGGAACACCTGGAACATTCCTGCTTCACAAGGCTTGCAAGTCAGTGTTGTATAACGAAATAGGTACACACCTAAGTAAACAAAAAGCAAATGTGACCACTTTGTTTCATCTTCATAGCTTCCTAGGAAAGACCTGTCAGAATTTCATCAGAAATGAACCTTAAAGCCGTCTCATCTATGTGTCTCTAGCCACAACCAGGCAAAGACACCCACTTCCCATGTAGTCCCATGCCCAAGTCTGTGTCTGGGGAATCCCGCTTCCTCAACTTCTTCCATTTTCCCAAGCTTCCTCTCAAGTATCGTGGGCACCAGTGGTGGTACTTTGTGTCTCTCTGTAATCCTGCTTACCTGAGTAGCGGTCATTATAATAATAGTGATTTGTGGCACAACTCTTGTTTGTCGAATACAAATTAAACTTCCAGCAGGATTTCATGCCCCCAATACAAGTGGCTCCATCAAAATGATCACATTGATTGCAAAACCGAACCCCTGAAGAAAGAGGAAAAGCTTTACAGACAGCTCTAGGGAAAGTATCCTTGCAGAAGGCTATCCACCCATAAATATATGCTCTGCAGTGGCATAGACCTCCCAAAGGGAAGTGGGAACTTCTCTGAAACTCCGTCAGGGTTCCCTTAACTGATGATAGCTGTGACCAACAACTCCCAACATGAAATCAAGTATAGCTGTAGGAAGAAGACCCTAGAGGATGGAGTGAGGAGGATGGAGTGTAATCAGGGAACAAAGAGGATATTTTAAAAACCGAAGCATAATCTCTCTCATAGTGGTATTATTTATCCAGAATTGCAAGTCAACTACACCATACATTCAAATGTCAGGACTCTGGCTCCTGTAAAAAGAAGAAAAAAAAATGTATCTGTCAATAATTTTACACAGCCCTAAAAGCCATGTGAAGAAATTGCTTTCTTCCCCCTATCCCCCATACATGCTCTCATCATCCATTCCTGCTTCCCTCTCCTCACCCATGAAGAGAATTATGGATATGCCTAGAAGAAACAATTGGAACATGTTGGAGCCCATTCTTGAGAAGGTCCCCAGCAGTAGGTTCTAGCTATATTTATTCCCATCATCTGCCCTCAGGCATCCCCCTGAAGTCAGAGTCATAAATTTCAGATCAAAGCACCTAATCCTCTCCAAAACATTCTCAGAAGCAGGTACATCCTGTCTGTGAATTTCTCCATCTATTAGAACTCAGTCCACTCAGACACCTCATTTCATTTTATTAATCACAATGATTAATCCATGGTAGTGTGCAATCCTTCTCTTCTTCACTCGGGTCATGTTCCTAGTTGTGAAGTCTTTGCAAATGTGTCCAAATCTACATCCATATGGCACCCTTTCAAGCATAATAGATCTGGGGTCACCAAGAACCTGTGAGTGAATATTTGGTTCATTTCAGGTCCCACCACCACCCTGGATACTCACTTTGGTGTGCTCTCCAGCAGACAACATCCTGAACAGCATGTGGCCTAAGGCCAGAGCACCCAGCACTACTGCTACATCTGAATGGTTAGTCCCTCTCTAATAAGTGATTAGGACAGCCAAGGGAAAAGGGAGTAAGGTGATCCTCTTAGCTTCTGATGTGCTTTATTCACTGATTTTTAAAAAGTTTTATTTATTCTTACTGGAAAGGCAGATCAGATTTATGCAGAGAAGAATATAGAGTGGGAGAAAGCTCTTCCATCCACTGGCTCACTCCCCACATGGCTGCAAGAGAGAGAGAGAGAAGCAGAGATATCTTACATCTGACAACTCACTCCAGATGGCCACAATAATGCCAGGAGCCTGGAATTCCACTTGCATCTCCCATGTGTTTGGCAGGAGTACAAGTACCTAGTATATTTTCTGCTCTATTCCTGGGCACATTAGCAGGTAACTGGATCAGAAGCACAGAAGCTGAGACTCAAACCAGGGTTCCAGTACAGCTGGTTAACTTGCTGTGCCACAATGCCAACCCTAGTCAATGATTTTTTTTTTCAAAGAAAGCACACTTTGAATTATGCAAGACAGAGACACTTAACTCTTGTAGAGAGGAAAGAAAAGATATATTTACATTGACCACTGGAAAGAGTATAGGCAGCAGAAGTTAGCAATGACTACAAAAGAGCTCCACATCAGTTCCCTGCTTTTCCCTTAATTGTTCCCAAAGATGCCATCCCTTTTTCTGCTATCAGTAGCCAGCTGCTCCATGGGTCAACTCCTTGTCTTTATCTCTACACCAGAACAAAATTCCCTGACCATACTTTCCTGCTCAATTTTTCTCCATATACTTAACACAATTTGTGATATTGCAGCTTTTTTAAGCTTATGTGCACTGTCTCTTCCCTCACAATCTGAATGCCTTGTGAATATTTGATAGGAAAATGTACAGTATGATTAGATACTAATAAACTGTGAAGAACAGGGGAATTGTGTGAAAATCTTTAACCTAATGGTCCTTCAGTTCCAACCTCATAGGGTGAGATCCCTGCCTTCAACCTTGTATCAGGCCAGGACAATGGTATCTTGCCCGGTACTGGGGAATGATGAATCTGTTTATCCAAGTGTATTCATCTTCTGAGATTGGCACTTAGCACATCCAAGTATAATCCCTTGCATAATCCTGACTATAAAGATACTCTCTACTGCCCTGGTGTAGAAGTGCAATGATGCTATCCTCTGATTTGAACTTTGTAACTTCAAGCAGTTTGTGGAATCTCTCTGAGCCTCTGTTATGGAACAGGTAAACACAAGGACCATCACAGATTTAATTGAAGTCCAGTTGCAGCTTCCCTACCTGCCTGAACACTTGGCTGTTCATCTCCTACAAGATCAACTCAAGTCAGTTAATGACCAAGTTCTATTTTCCCACCTCTTCATTGCCCTCGAAGCTTTCCAGACTTAGAAGTGCTGGGCATTTTTGCAAACAAAGTAAGACTAATTTGAAATGCTTTCACAATGTGAAGGCAGAGGGACTGTGTTGCTCAAGGCAGAGAAGTGTGAAAGAAGAAGAATTTAGAGATGAAATCCAGAGACAGATTCCAAATCCCTCTCTCTGCTTCCACAGTTGAATTCCTGCTCCATGCTCAACACAAGAGCTTGATTTAGTGAACTTGATAAAAAGCAATAATATTAGTTGTGGGAGAGCCCAAAAAAACAACAACCATCTTCTTCTCCAGAACTCATCAGAAATTCTGATTCAATTGAGTCACCGGGACCTCTGCTTCCAACGAGGCCTCTCCCACAGTTCCTTAACCCTTGAAATATTCCAGCAGGCTATCTCCTGCCTCTAGACACTCATTATAGCGCAAGTTGCCATATTTGGCAGTAACAAGCACAGGACTGAGCGATTCCTGCCAGCTGTCCCCAAATCACAATTTTCAACCTATTTTCCATGTCTGCTGTTCCCACTGATGTCCTCCACTTCCCTTTCCAGCTGCAGGCTGCTGGGATATTGACATGTCAGACTGGAGAAGAGGAACTGGGAGGTCACAGCATCCTGGGTGTGATTTTGGTATGTTCTGGTTTGCCTGGAAGAAAAAAAAAAAGCCTCATATTACTTACCCATGAAACTGACAGTATTAACTGTCAATTCACATAGATTTACTGCAATGTTACACGGGGAAAAGAAAAATTCATGGCATGAAATAAAATTGTGTAAGAATCATTGTTTCCCCAATAATAATGAACTAAGCGTTCCTTCAGCTGTGCTCCCTGTGCAAAAGCCCAAGGATATACAGGATAAGATAGACTGGGTACTGAAATTCTTGGGAGCCATACAGCCCCTGCAACCAGAGAAATTCTCAAATGTGGCAAACAACAGAGGCCACTCATAGAGGTTCCTTCCTGATGAGGCAATGGATCAGAGCCTACAAATAATACCTTGGCATAGGAAGAAAAGGAAGTCATGTGGCCTGAGAAGATAATCACCACCAAAGCTTTGATTGGAGTTGTGGGTTGGAATGGGCAGGAGAACAAGAACAGTTCCTTCCAAATGACCTCTGAAGCCAGAAGCACTGATTCAGAACGGACTGGTTCTTCCCAGACAGTTGAACAGCAAAGAACTCAGCTGAGATAGGGTGAGTTAGGCCTGTGCAGTTCAGAAGGACCAAGACATCAGAGGACTGTGGGAATCCCAGCAAGGGGCTCTGCTGATAGGGCTGGGGGTTCTCTTCTTATACTTTTCCTTCATCTGCAGACTTCATCGCTCAGAGATTTTCTGCACATTCCTGAATACCTTTCTGGATTCTGAGCTCCTAGGCACAAGTAATTTTCTCACAATAATACCTAGAAGGACTGATCCAGAAGTATTAGAAGGCCATGTATTCCCAGACCAAACCTGGTTTCCAAGATCTGACACCCAGGCACATTCTGCCAAGAACCTCACATGTCCCTTCTAGGGGGAGGATAGAAGGCAACTGTTTAACTCTCCCCACTGCAATTAATTGGTAAAGGACACCCAAGTCATAGAACAGCCTGGTCAGCAAGAGACATAAATCTTAAATCCTGCATGAGGACATTGGTAACACCACTCCTGTTCTGCTCATCCTCCCATATTTCATTTCATTTCATTTCATGATTTGATGGCAACCTCTAGTTCATCTTCTCTACCTCTCTTTTCCTGATCTTCTTTTCTAGACAACTCTATTCTCTCTAAATGATCATGTGCTTCTTCCAACTGAACCCAGTACCACAAGGGCAGGTTGATGAGTTTCTTTTCTGCTTCACCACAGCCAAAGAAGATGACTTCTGGATGACCATTTGCTTCTTTCATTACAACGTGTTCCCACCCTTTCTGACATTCCGCTTAAGAAAAGATGGTTTGAACATCATTACACTGTGAGTCACAGCAGCTACTCATGCCTAACTTTCTGGTTTTCCATTGAAGAGTAAAGAACTAGCTTGCTCCCTCTATTCCTTCAAAGATCGCAGTTACAAATACTCATTTTTGAAAAAATAAGTTTAATAATTTATTCCAGATCTGATCTTTTTTTTTCAGATCTGATCTTTATAAACCTTAAGGGTGGGCTATCACACAGCAAAAGCTCTATTGCTTGACAAAGGAATGTTGACTACAATTTTCTATATAACTGAGGCCAGTGGACACGCTTTGTAAGGGAGAGAGTGGACAAAATAGAACTTATTTTCACTCGGTGTAGTAAGAAGCAATGCTGTCCTTATGCATAGCAGAAACTGGTGCAGATCATGTGGTATTTGAATTAAAGTTTCCCTTCTTGATTTTTGTCTAAAAACTTGAGAATCGGTGTTTAGAGAATGGTAGCCTTGTATATATACAAGGGTGTATGCATTCCATTTTCCCCTGGAATAAACAGTAAGGCGAAGGAAAGACATCTACACCACAATGATGGGTGATGATCTTTAAAAGGAGAGGCTTGGCACACGAACACTTTTACCCCCAGACGATCTCAGTGCGAGAAGAGAACCAAACCTGTTTGGTGTGGCATGGCAGCGTTGAAGAACTTCAGAACTCAGCTGTTCCTACTGTCCTGCCCTAAGCTTTAGAGGACCTTCTCCTTATGCATAGACCCTATGTCTGCCTAAGCAATTCACTTTGGGGGAAATGGCCCATGGAATTTTATATATCAGAATATACACTGCTAGGGAGAAAGTGAGTCTGCTTCTGAAAGAAGGAAATAGGACACTCAGAGGTACCTTTTTATGGGACAGTGGGGACTGACACTTCAGAGGAACTGAGAGAGAACCATTAGCCTGAATGCAATTATTCTCAAATTAAGTCTCAAGTACCTGAACACCCCTCTATGGTATTACCTGCAACAGATGCATGCAGCAGTAAACGTATGACTCTTTCCTAGCCATATGGCCCTTCTGATCCTGCTCTCTGTTGATATACCTGGGAGGCAACAGGAAATGGTCCAAAGACCTGTGTTCCTGCATCCACATGGGAAACCAAAATGAAGTTGCTGGCTCCTGGCTTTCAGTGACCTTGCCCTTACAGGCATCTGGGGAGTGAACCAGAGGATGAAAGATCTCTACCTTTTTCCTTCTCTTTCCCTCTCCTCTTTCTATTAATCAGCCTTTCAGATAAATACATCATTGAAAAACACAAAATAGTCTTCCCTCCTAAGTAGCCTTTCTTACTTCAGTTAAAGTAACCAATAGCTATCTAACACAATCACTCACATGTACTGTCATTTGAAGTCAGTTTACCCAGATTTTTGCCAAACTTCACACCCTGTTCTCAGCTAAGATGGAAATCCACTAGATAGTGCTTCTCAAAGTGTCTCTAAATGTGCAAATTGATTTTTTTAAGATTTTTTTTTTTGGAAAGTCAGATATACAGAGAGGAGGAGAGACAGAAAGATCTTCTGTCCAATGATTCACCCACACACACACAAGTGACCATAACAGCTGCTAATGCTATGCCAATCCAAAGCCAGGAGCCAGGAACCTCTTCCAGGTCTCCCCCATGGGTGCAGAGTTCCAAGGTTTTGGGCCATCCTTGACTGCTTTCCCATGCCACAGCAGGGAGCTGGATGGGAAATGGAGCTGCCGGGATTAGAACCGGTGCCCATAAGGGATCCCGGCGCGTTCAAGACAAGGACTTTAACTGCTAGGCCATACCGCTGGGCCCGCAAATTGATTTTAAAAATGAACATTCCTGTACTCCAGTTCTTCCAGGGTCTGCAATATGATTTAGGAGGGCGTTACCATTTGGACACTCTTAGTAATGCTCCTATTAACCCCTGTAACCATTCCAGTCATATCCCTAAAAATAGCATGTCCTGTCGTCAGTAAATCCCATGCATTCATACAGGGAAAAATGGCTGAGGAGTCTGTCTTGCATCTGGGTGTGATCTCCATACTCCTACAACATGAAATGGAAGAAAATATGAATGGTGCTTATCATATGTGTCATGTGAGTGACAAGACTGCAAACTGTGGATCTAAAACCTTCTGAATTAATCCACTTTGCATTACTACAATAAAGTACATGACAGAGGCTCCTTATGAAGAACAGCGTGTTTAGCTCACAGTTTTGGAGCTTCTAGGGCAGGGCAACTGCTTTAATTCAGAGGTAGTTAACGGCAGAAAGTAAATGTGCAACAAGGATCACTTGGTGAGCCAAGGACCAAAAAGAGATTGAATGGAGATTAATTCGGGCTCTTAAACTTCTCACAAAAGCCACCACCAAATCCTGGGAGAGTTACTTTCAGAGGACATTCCCTTATAGATTTAAGGGTCCACCTCCCAATTACATGACCTTGGGGACTGAGCCTCCAATCACCATGGAGCCTTGGGAATATACTCAAGTCACAGCAGAACTGAGCATCTTGGTTGCTTGGATTGTGTCTTAATTGTCTTTGTTAGTCCCAACACCAAGCCAAACACCTGTTTATTAAGCAGCAGAATAACTTTAGCAAAGACTCACCTGTAACTCAAAATAAGATGTGCTACAAAATCAACCACATACTGTTCAAATCGGTGTTCTGGCATTGCTCCCATTTGATTGCATGAGAGAGTGTAAAAGCTTTGAGATCAGTAAGTGACTGCTTAACAGTAAATGAACAAAGTTTTAATCATACAGAAAATACCAATGACTTGGAAAATGCATTTCTGAGTGTTTTGAACTGGAAATTACATCACACTTGAAAAATAATTGTGCAAATTATCTAAGTTTAAAACAGTGGTGCCAGAGGTTAAAAAAAAAAAAAAGAGCCATGGAAACTGGTAATACAGTAGCGCCCCTTCCTTCTCTTCTGTACCTTCTCTCATGGTATAGCACTGTTCATGACTGCTGTTCTCTAAGCACCACGCCCCGTACTACAATAGCCTTCAACTCACAGTTGGTCAGCCCAGAGAGGGTCTGGGACCCAAATGCATACAAATCCGCAAACTTGAATCAGTAGACCTACTCAAAAACAATAACCTGAGGTTTTTTTTTCCTTGCCCCAGGTATCTGGAATTAGAATGTTCAGGTCATATTTGAGTAAAGATAAATGCCCTACAGCCAATAAGGCAAATAAAATTCAGAAACCATTGAAAGTATAAAGATGGAATGGAAGAGAAAGCAGAAAAACAAGGAAAGAAGAATAAAAATTGTAGTCTGAATATGCTCAAGAATCTGTTCTGGAAGACACATTTCTTGAGATCATTAAGTATCACATTCATCAATTAGTTATGCAACATGACTTTTTCCCAACCAAATCTTTTTTCCTATTTTTAAACATGTTGAGAATTATATTTAATTTTAGTTATAAAATAACATAACTGCTGTAGATTTTAAATAATACAAAAAGGAGGGTCCAGTGCAGTAGCCTAGCAGCTAAAAAGTCCTTGCCTTACATGCACCAGGATCCCATATGGGTGCCAGTTCAGGTCCCACTTGCTCTCCTTTTCCTCCAGCATCCTGCTTGTGGCCTGAAAGCAGTAGAGGATGGCCAAAAGCTTTGGGACCCTGCACCCACATAGGAGACCTGAAAGAAGCTCCTGGCTCCTGGCTTCAGATCGGCTCAACTCCAGTTGTCACGGCCATTTGGGGAGTGAATCATCGGACGGAATATATCCTTCCCTGTCTCTCCTGCTCTCTGTGTATTTGACTTTCCAATAAAACTAAATAAATCTTAAAAAAAAAATACAAGAATGGAAGAAAAAGTCAACGTTTGCCCAGCCATTCTTAACTCACATACATTTGCGGTAACTTATCTTTTCAGTATTAACGCCACTACTTCACAAAGGTAACATTTGAGGGTCCAGTGCAGGATGGACAACCTCCAGCACATCCATCCCTGAAATGCTTTCTCTGGCGTCCCCTGCTGGACAATGCTGTGATTGCCACAGAGTGAGCTCACTGGCAGGTTCGTTTCAGCAGAAAAGCAGTCTTCATTCGCTCAGTAAACATTTATGCATCCCACCTCTCAAAGCCGACACCACCCTAGAAACTGGGGAAACAACTACGGGTGTGATAGGCCTGGTTCCTACTCTTACTGCACGTTTGTGCAAGTAACTGAGTAAAAGATTGCTTGTAAAGCACAACATATGCAATGAACAGAAGAGGGTACTGGGGTACATAATACCGAATCACAAGGGAGACTCTGAGGAGAGAAAAGATAGTGGAATAGGATGAGGACAGGTCTAACCAGATGGAGAATCATTAGCCAGGCTGCAGCAGAGAGGGCACAATCCTGGGAAACAGGAGAGGACAGGCCTAAGGCAGAGGGACACCTGAGACCCGTGGACACCGGGAAGCAGCAGAGATGGCTGAGCAGTGTTGCAGTGGCCAGATACGATTGGAGCGCCACCAGCAGCCGGGCATAAAATGTCTAATAAAAAAATTAAATTGAAATTGTTGAAGAAAAAAAGTAATTATGGGATAGCCAGAGGATAGCTCTCTGGGAATTACGATATTAACAGAAAGAAGAATTAATATACATGAAAGATCTGAAGACAAGTGCCAAATAGCCTGGCAAGGAGATAGCAGGTGGAAATAAAGAACAGTAATCGTTGGAGCTTAGTTAAGAAAAAAAAATAATAATATGGTGTACTTCAATTGCTGTGGGGAGAACTTATTAGAGAAAGCAGAGACGAGGATGCACTACTGGGAGGTGGGCGCTGTGGTCCAGGTTGCAACGTGTAATACTGTTTGTATGCATCGTGCTTCATCTACCAGGATGGAGAGAGAGGTTAATACACAAGATTCCCAGCCTTCTAGTACATGCAAACAGTGGAATGAGGGAAAACCTGCTTGAGGCATATTGGAGGGGCGGCAAACAAAAAGGAGATTGGAGTTCAATT